GGTGAAATTGCAGTGGAAAAGATCAGTATGGAGTATATGGGTTTATTCACCATATTATCGGCCTTGAAGCTTGGCGTGCAGGCAGATGCCGGGGATTTCCTGAATTTCTGTTGGAAGCCTAGCATTACTTGTTGACCGGGAAGAGAGACATTTCCAGGTATTTTATGGATTCAAGGCCATCAAATAGTTCAAATCAACTCGGTAGCCTTACCTGTACCAGGTTTGACTCTTTCATGAGCCTGACCTAAAATGTCCATGAAGTAAACCACAATTTTCGAGAATTCTGCACAGGAATGAGGCAGATATTTCAATGTCTGAAGCTCCCACTTTGGATAGGAGGTTAAATACTGAGTTCCTGGACCTATCCGAGACCTTTGAGGTCTTCCTAACGGCTCGGAATAATTTATTCAGCCCTTCCACCGGGATTTTTGTGGCTTTTTTGGATGATTTACGGATTTAACGCCCATTGGGTCTCAGAATTACACAGATTGTTGGGGTGCATCACTAGTATCTTATTCAATGGATCCTGCCGTAATAAGGTACCAAAGACGCGTCAGAATGCACTTAAACGGCAGATATTTAATATATGCGTCGACGCGTCGTGAGCACGTGATCCGATCAATGCCTTCAGCCGGCGGATCGGCTCGGATCGGCAACCCGTATACACAGGCTGGTTACCCTGGCTACAGCGAGGCAACCTAGGGGCGTAGTCACCCTGGCATATACTCTATATATACTGAGCTTTCGATGATCTATGAAAGAATTGTATTCAGTACCAACTCCCGAAGGAATACAAAATTAACCAGAGAGATTTCCAGCTTAGACGCAACATAAAGAGAATGGCAGAGCAATTCGTCAGTACTAGAAACGGCAACAGCAAAGGGGATGTAAATATACACCGTAGACCTGGTACGCTCGCTCTATAGGCTTCATTAGAAATCCGCAATAATCGTGACAGCGAGAAAACGACAGGCGCCCAGGCCGCATCAAGCGCCCTAGATTTGTGTAAAATATTACGGACTGGTAACGTCAGAAGAGATACGAGAGTCTCTCAGAAAGGAAAATCTACCCACGAAAATTTACTAATATAGTAATGCTTCCAACACGAAGCGCATACGTCATAACACAATTTTCACCTCACTTGGCTCTACAAACGGAGATAAAAACGAGTCTAAATAAATTTAGAACTCGTAATGTTGAGGTTCCCAAGTATACTCCTCCTTAGGGTAGCCTTCCCAGCAAATACAGTACCATAGACTCTGGTTGTGCACCTTAATGTTGAGCACTTCCTCAACCTCGTATAAGTCCACCCCCTCAACAATGTCTGGCGGGGGTAGAGGGACCGCCTTCTGGTGTTCTGCTACTGGAGGTACCTATTGCTTCAGGAACACCATGTTGAAGACAGGGTGTACTTTCCAAGTGTCCGGTAATTTCAGCTCATACGAGAGATCCAACCTTTTGCACCACTTTGAAGGGCCCATTTCGTTTGTTGTCTAACTTCTTCATGGGCTGATGTGTCATCAGGTTTTTTCCTGACAAGTACACCTCATCTCCGGGTTCATAACTGGGGTCTTTTCCTCGCTTACAGTCATAGAAGTGCTTCATGGTTTCTTGAGCTACATGCATGGATGCAGTGGCTTCTTCTCGCATGAGTTGCATCCATTTGGCAAAGTTGTCAGCCGCTTCGGTTGGTACTTCGAGTCGGGGCTCTGTACCCTTCCATGGATGGAAACCCAGCATTGTATGGAACGGGCTAAATCCCCTTGTGGTGTGAACCTTGTCATTATAGCTGAACTCCACCAAGGAGTATGAAGGCCCATACTGGACAAAAGTATTCAAGGTAGCGGAAATGCACGAGATCTCTGAAGATCTCCAGAGAATCCTCGAGATCCCTCAAGATCTCTAGAGATCTTCAGAGATTTCAATTTTTTTGCTCGAGATCTTCAGAGATCCCGAATCAGTGTCGAGATTTCGAGCATTTTCGAGGTCTTTGGAGATCTTGACTTTGTTCGAGATCTCGACAAATCTCCCATTGTTAGCTTTGCAAATTATGTGTCGAGATCTCCAGGGATCTTGTCTTTCGGAATTTTAAGCAGTGACCTCCTGCACATGGTGTTAAGGCTCCCATATGCACACATTATTCCTGATGCGCATACACACACACAATCGACGTGTCGCTGTATGATACAACTGAGAATTTATCAAATTCGATCTCAACCTCTTCTGTCTCCTACTATCACCATGTCTGTTCCTCCAACCGTGTGCGCACAATGTACTCGCTGTGCTGCTTGTGCTGGTTCGGTGGGCGTAGTCTGGGACCCTGTTCAATGTGCCAACGTCCCTACTACGTGCGTTGCTCTCCTTTCATAGATTACTTTTCCCTTCTAATAAATGTCCAGATCCCATTGTCCCCTTCCTGAGGATCCACAAGGAAGCAGCATGGAACTGTGGGAAGCAGCGGATAGTTGAATCCTCGAGATCGCTCGAGATCTTAGAACCAAAACCCTGGATGAGTTATCAGGAGATGCTTAATCTCTAGAGATCTCGAGACTTGGACCTGGATAAATTATCGGGATGATGAAAGTCCTTGCAATTAGTTGGACGAGATCGCTGAAGATCTCCAAATAGTTTTTTTGTCAGGTCGGAAGGAAAGTTGAGGTCCACGTCGAGATCTCTCGAGTTCTCGAGAGAATAACAGAGAATTGTCGAGATCTCGAGGCTTCTCTGGCATTCTCTCGAGATCTCTAGAGGGCTCGACCCCCTACCGGCATAACTGAGAGTTTTGTCCAGTAAGGTCCCTCAAAAAGGAGAGCCAATCTGCCCAGTCGTCTTGCATGAAGTTTGTGAACACTCGCAGATACTGCTTGAGCTCCTGGTTGACTTGCTCCATTTGGCTGTCTGTCTGCACGTGGTACACCGTCGATGCGTTCGATTTCATGCCCAAGAGCCTCAGCAGATCATGCATGAAGTGGCCCACAAAAACCTGGCCACGGTCACTGATTACCACTTCTGGTAATCCATAGTCTTTCCAGACATGGTTCTGGTGAAGTCGAGTGACTCCCTCGCCACTGATGTGTTCCATACAAGGAAGGCCTTGCTGAGATGGTCCATGATTACCGCAATTGAATTGAACCTGTTGCTCACAGCAGTTTAACAATCAGATCGATCAAAATAAACTGCCATGGCCCTTCGGGAACGGGATTTGGATGTAACAGTCATCTAGGCCTGGTGGGAAAGATCTTGGTGCACTGGCAGGTAGGGCAGGCCACCACATATTTCTTTGTCTCCTTCAGGACTGTAGGCCAATAGTAGTTGCAGGTTATTAACTCGGCTGTCTGGTATTAACTGGGGTGTCTAGCAAGGTAGTCATCGTGATGCGCCTTCAGAATCCGGTGTCATAGGGCCTCGTCTGAGGGCACATAAATCAGCCTGTCCTTCATTAAGAACCCATCATGTTCTTCCCACCCACTATCGTCTTTCCCAAGCACCTCCTTTGCAACGACTTCCCACAGATTTTTCTTCTATTTAATTTCCTCCATAAATCTGTCTCCTGGCATGTCATTGAGCACTGCAGGCATGGCCTGCAGGAACTCCGCCCTAACCAGGTTGTTCGCAAAGAGCGTCTTTGGTAACAGCACCGTGTTTGAATTGCTGTGCTCCCTGTGCTCGTGTCCCCCTCTTCGAGACAGCATGTCTGTCTTGGTGTGCTGCTTCCCGGGCTTATGCACTACAGTGAAGTCGTACTCACTCAGCTCTAGTGACCATCTGGTCTGGCATCAATTCAGCTTCTTGGTGGTGGTGAAATACTGCAGATTCTTGTGATCCATCCAGATCTCGAACCTTTGTTGGCTTCCCTGTACGAAGTGTCACCACTCATACAGGGCATGCATCACTGCCAGCATTTCCTTGTCGTGTATGTCGTAGTTACATTCCATGTCATTCAGACCTTTCGACAGGAACATGATGGGAACCCACACCCCATGTCAAGACAAGCCCTAAGTTGGTTAGACGTTGGGTGACAGGGAATAACCCAGCCGGGATGATAGTTGAATAACCTGGTTAGAAAGTAATGCGGTACCCCACTAGGAGATAGCATCAAATAGCCTCTTCATCAGGAGGAGGTAGTCGGCCTATATTGATGAGAGGGGGGATTGTAAATGACCCAAAGGTGGTATGGTAACCGCCTAGACACCAGACTCGAGGAGACCTCAAGGAGAGAAGAATATAAAGCAGGGGATAAGACAGGGTAATAAACATAAGGTTAAGGAATGACCAGTGTGTTATAAAATGGTCGGGCAGTACTATTTATTTGCATGGCGGGAACATTAATCGGGCCCGGGATTCTCGCTTCACTGCTCCTGCTTTAGCTCATTGGAATCGATTCACGAAAAGCGAGTATACGTACACCACGTCCAAGGTGTTATTCTTTCCCAAAAATACCAGGAAATAAGAGTGTTCAGCGAGCTACCCTCGCTCCAGTTCAAAGTCGCTAACTTGGAATTACAATGACTCAAGCCTCAGCGGGACAACGTACTCTGAAAAAAACGTGCAAATGAAATGAAATGGGACGAAAAAATTCCAACGATTCAAGCTATTCGGACACGGCCAGGAATGGACCCCAGTGCTCCCGCCTTAATGGACATATGTACAATACCTCCCAGCGTTGAAAGCGGGGGTGCGTCGTACACCACCTCCGAGTTTTGGGCTTTGGCTATGCATGAGAGTTCACATGTAATTTCGTACCTCTGGTGCTTACTGTGCTGGGCGGCTGCGGTGGACAAGTTCAGCCGAAGATGTGGCTGGAGACAGTCAGTTGCAAGAAGCGAGGTGTCAAATCGAAATGCCTCGAACCTTGGTATAAAAGTTTGACTTTTCTTGTGTGCACTGCATAACTCAACCTTATTAAAGCTGGATTCCAGCGCAAAGTACGCCCATCAACGACCTGGACAGCCAAATGAAGGAGTCAGTTCCAGATAAAAAGAAAAGATCCACAGCACACATTCGGACACCGGGAATCGAACCCAGTACTCCCTCCTCAACCATACCATTCAGAGATCGAAAGCGGGAGTGCACCATACACCACGTCCGAGCTCATCTCCCTATCCTTCAATGGGGTAAGTACGAGAGCTCGGAAAGGGTACCTTGTTAGAGAAGGGAGATTGTGCAGCTGAGAAGACATTTCGACCCTGCAAAAAAAAAAAAAAAAAAAAAAAAGAGTGAAAACAGCTCAGCGCAGGAGGATGCATAAACAAAGCCAAAGCCACCGCACAAGTAACGGAAAACACATTTAAAAAAAACCCATACGAGTCAAGTGCAATTCGGAGGCCGTGAATCAAACCCCGTATACCCGCCTTAACCATACCTCTCAGCCGGCGAAAGCGGGAGTGTGCCGTGCACGACGTCCGAGTTACAGGGTTTGGGCTGGGCTCTTCGCTGTGCACGGGTTTAATTTCGTACCTCTGGTGGTTTCTGCGCTGGGCAGGTGGGGTGCGTAGGTTAAACGCCAAGAAGCGTGGACTTTTGAACACGAGCATTCAACTCAAACCTCGTACACAGCGCCCACAGGTCAGTAAAAGCTCGTGAAAATCGGCGTGCAATATAGTTCCCGTCTTTTCTATGTAAATTCATGGTTGAACTGCGTTTGAGTCCCAGGTACGGGTCAGAAACCACGTACAGCAAGATGAATGACCTGGGGTTGTCAGTTCAAGGTCCAGACAAAAAGAAAAAGACGAGCTGGGATTCATCGCGCATTCGTACGCCGGGAATCGAACCCAGTCCTCCCGCCTAAAAAAAAACTTCCCATACGAGTCAAGCGCGATTCGGACGCCGGGAATCGACCCCGCTGCTCCCGCTTCATGCGTTGCGTCGGGGGATAACTTACGGAAGGCTGGCGTGTACCGTGCACCACGTCCGAGGTATTATTGGTATCCTTCAGTTGGGTAAGTATGTTGATTTTAATAGGGTTGTTCGCAGCCGCCCTTTTTCACGCCCTTTTCGCTCCCCTTTTTGCGCCTTTTTTTCATGCCTGGCAGATAATGTGCTATAAAATCCAGAAAAATTCACCCCAGTGCTTCTTGAACATTTGAGGTGGTATGTGACTTTTAAGGAACAATGAGCACCCAAGCTGCATGTAATGGAGAATTGAAGCCAAAAAGGGCACAAAGAAGGGTGAGCTCCAGCAGGGGGTTTCACAGTAGCCATTTTTGGCACCCTTTTTCGCGCGAATCGCGCCCTTTTTTTCCGTTTCCTGCAGAATTGCAGGTAGGACCCCGTTTTTGTTGGTCTTCTGCCCTTTTTTACTTCTGATTGAAAAAGGACAAACAACAAAGAGAATGGCAAAAAGGGTGAAAAAGGGTGAGAAAAAGGGCTTGGAAGTTAGGAGGCGTATCGAGGAAAGATCGGCAGCGGCGGGTGTGTGCTTGCTTTTTGGAAGAACAGTGGGCTGCGTCGAGCCTGAAGCTTTATTCTTGTGTGATTATACGAGCCTCTGGAGCCCCAGAGCTCGAGCGTAGTAAGATGGTGAGAGTTGGGAGCAAGAGGGAGGACTTGCTCTTTTGATTCGAACACCACCACACAACCCTTGCTTCTTACCACAACAACCTTCTGTGAACCTGATGGCTGCGGACTTTTTGCACCTCACGGACCACCAACCAACAGTCCTCGATATCGGGTCTTTGTCCGCGTCATCACTTGGACATCTTCCTTGCCTAGCTTTCAATCTGCCGTCATCTATGCAACGACTGTACCTTCTCTACACCTATGATAATCTTTATATATATCCTCCACGACTGAGACGGGATATCCAGGCGGAAATTCATTCGTGGAAAGGCGGCTGCCTCAGCGCGAGGCACCCTCGTATCTGCCCTGTTTTACGAACCATAAGCTTCAACCTGCCGGGACATGTTCACATCAGATAAAATTATTGCA